TCTGGAGAGCTTGTGAGATGAAAGGTCTCTTACACCCTTTTTCCAGGTGGGCTGCAATACACAGAAGTTTGTGGCTATGTGGGAAGTCAGTGACAGAGCTGGGAATTATCTCAAGTCCTAATGTCCAAGCAAGAAATAAGAGAAGCCAAACTACCATTTATTCCTTAGGTGCAGTAGATCTTAAAATGCAATTCTGACCTCCGAATTCTCCTGTAAAATGCAACAACTGCTAGGCTTAGCCTAAATCCTGTTATATTGGCACTCTTTTTTTAGGATCCAACTTAAGTTTTCAAAACAAAACTCAGTTTGGGGAGAGGAAAGGCAAACCACTCCTAAATTCTTTCAGCTTCCCATTGTCCCACCACAACACAGCTCTCAGTAAAACACTGCACACTGTTTTCTGTTTTAATGGTGAGAGCAGAGTCAGTGCCAGAGTTGCGGGCATACACAAGATGCTTGCTGGGAAGGTGCACTTCTCGAAGTTGCTTCCCCCTGTGAATTCCAAAGCAAGAAATCTCCTGCCTAAATTCTTTCATGTATGCTCAATATTTTAGTTGTTGCAGTATCTATTTCAGGTGTTCATTGTAGGGTTGGAAGAGGGATATTTGGACAATTCACAGCAATTTCTCACAACAGTTCAGTGGACTTTATACTTTGGAGAGTTTTAAAGTTTTTAATTCCCATGAATGTGTGATTTAAGGATTTGAGGACTCCCTGAACACCTATGCATTGAAGACAGTTTTCTGTAGTTCTCAGTCTGGGATATGCATGCACATATAGGAGAAATCCCTTTTACAAATAACTAATCTAAAAGGAGATTCCTTTTTCTTTAGCTTTCTGCCAGGTAAAAGGTTTCACTGACCCCATCCTCTGCTGGATTTTACCTAGTGATACACCAAGACAAACAAAAGGGGTCTCTGGACCATCCGAAACAGCGGAGGTAGCTGCAGTTGTCTGCGATCTGAGGGTAACCTACAAAGCCTTGCTCCTGGGGAGGATGCAGCAGAACAATGTCATCCTTGTTTGCACTCATTTAAATCAGTGCCCAGAGTCTTTCCTTCCCCCTGTGCAGCACGTCCCTCACACAGGCTCACAAAGGGCTGCATTCATCAGTGAGCAGCAACTAGTTATAATCCCTTTGAAAGACAACAGGCCGTGCCAGCTCTACCAAGGCTTGTGTTAAAGAGTTCATCCTTCCTTGCTCATGCAAGTTTGGGGCCGTCTTGCCTGACTCCTGTACATGCAGATGGGTTTGAGGGCCTAAGGATGAACTGTGGTAGGTTCCATGGGGCGGGAAAGGACTCCCTG